GGCCACTCCGTGAACAAGATGGACTGATAGCCATCGAAAATTTGGAGGTTAGTATCCTTATCCTCCCAAAGTTGTCACTGATAAAAGAATTCACTAGGAACTGTATCTATACGTGACAAATGAATCTCTTCAACAAGAATACGTGAGCTTTAATTTGTCTGCCAACCCACCTGGTGTTGACCTTACAACTCTTTCCTAACATATAAACAACCTGCAACTCAGCCACCCAAAATGATTCCTTTGCACCAGTTTTAGGTAAATTTATAAAAGAATGGTTTATGAGGAACCGGATACTTAGGTTTACTTACTTTACTTAAGAATACTTTACTTTACTTAAGAATTTCTGTAATTCAATTGTATGTTGCTGTTTTTCTTTTCAGATATCGACGAATGTGAATCCGACCCGTGTGAAAATGGCGGTGTTTGTAGCGACGCCACCAATGCTTTTACCTGCGCATGCCCAGACGGTTTCATTGGTGACAGATGCGAGGAAGGTACAAGGACTGAAAGACTTGCTTTTCAAAATTTCTTCCAGCAACTTTACATGATAATTTTAACAATTCACACATCTGTAATACTAGTACCTGCCCCGTCGTTATGCTTACTTGGTATCTTTGTCTAGAAGTTGACAATGTTCTACTATTTCTTTATTTAGATATTGATGAATGCGAGTCCAGCCCCTGTCAAAATGGCGGCGTCTGTACGGACGGCGTCAACTCTTACACGTGCGCATGCGCAGATGGATTTACTGGCGACAACTGTGAAAACGGTAAAACATTATCAAGTACATTTTCAATTAACTAAACTTGTGATATTTGCCCTACACCGAACAAGATGTTTTTGATTGGTCAATTCAAATAATTAACGTTAACCTTTACAGACAATGACGAATGTGAGTCCAGCCCCTGTCAAAATGGTGGCACCTGCAAGGACGGCGACAACTCCTATACCTGCACATGCGCAGATGGGTTTACCGGCGACAACTGTGAAAAAGGTAAGACTTCGTTCTATACGAATCTTATTATCCAACACATTACAGTTTAAACTTGCTTCAGAATCTTACGATACTTGCTCTTCCTTGAACATGAAGTTCTCTGATTGGTTACTTCAAATAAAAAACGTTACAATAAACTTTTCAGATGTGGATGAGTGCGAGTCTAGCCCGTGTCAAAATGGCGGCGTCTGTACAGACGGCATCAACTCGTACACGTGTGCATGCGCAGATGGGTTTACTGGCGACAACTGTGAAAATGGTAAAACATTATTCAAGTACATTTTGAATTAACCAAACTTGTGATATTTGCCCTTCCCCGAACAAGACGTTTTTTGATTGGTCAATTTAAATAATGACCGTTAACCTTTCCAGACAATGACGAATGCGAGTCCAGCCCGTGTCAAAATGGCGGCACCTGCAAGGATGGCGACAACTTCTATACCTGCACATGCGCAGATGGGTTTACCGGCGAGAACTGTGAAAAAAGTAAGACTTCGTTCTATATGTGAAACAATTTACGAATCTTGTGATACTTGCTCTTCCTTGAACATGAAGTTCTCTGATTGTTTACTTCAAATAATAAACGTTACAATAAATTTTTCAGACGTGGATGAGTGCGAATCTAGCCCGTGTCAAAATGGCGGCGTCTGCACGGACGGCATCAACTCGTACACGTGCGCATGCGCAGATGGTTTTACTGGCGACAACTGTGAAAACGGTAAAACATTATTCAAGTACATTTTCAATTAACCAAACTTGTGATATTTGCCATTCCCCGAATCGTGAACAAGATGTTTTTTGATTCAAATTTGTTTGTCAATTCAAATAATGACCGTCAACCTTTACAGACAATGACGAATGTGAGTCCAGCCCCTGTCAAAATGGCGGCACCTGCAAGGACGGCGACAACTCCTATACCTGCACATGCGCAGATGGGTTTACCGGGCAGAACTGTGAAAAAAGTAAGACTTCGTTCTATACGAATAATATTATACTTGCTCTTCCTTGAACATGAAGTTCTCTGATTGGTTACTTCAAATAATAAACGTTAGAATCAACTTTTCAGACGTGGATGAGTGCGAATCTAGCCCGTGTCAAAATGGCGGCAGCTGCACTGACGGCGTCAACTCTTACACTTGCGCATGCGCTGACGGGTTTACAGGCGACAGATGCGAAAAAAGTGAGACTTAGTTCAATACATTCATGTATATTTACGAAGCCTTTCCCTCAACTCTGAGTTCTCTGATTGCTTACTTTAAATAATGACCGTTAACCTTCACAGATGTTGACGAGTGTGAATGAAATCAATTTATGAAGATTATGGTACTTGCTCTTCACTAATCATTGAGTTCTCTGATTGGTTGCTTCAATGACCGTTAACCTTCACAGACGTGGATGAGTGTGAGTCCAGCCCGTGTCAAAATGGCGGCAGCTGCACTGACGGCGTCAACTCTTACATGTGCGCATGCGTGGAAGGGTTTACTGGCGACAGATGTGAACAAAGTAAGACTATGTTCAATACGTAAATCAATTTATGGAGATTATCGTACTTGCCTTTCACTAATCATTGAGTTCTCTGATTGGTTACTTCAAATAATGACCGTTAACATCCACAGATGTTAACGCCTGTGAATCTAGCCCGTGTCAAAATGGTGGCAGCTGCACTGACGGCGTCAACTCTTACACTTGCGCATGCGTGGACGGGTTCACTGGCGACAGATGCGAAATAAGTAAGACTTAGTTCAATACAAAAATTTGCGAAGCTTCTGATATGAAGCCTTTCACATTGACTTCTCTGATTGGTTACTTTAAATATTGACCGTTAACCTTCACAGATGTTGACGAGTGTGAGTCCAACCCGTGTCAAAATAGCGGCAGCTGCTCTGACGGCGTCAACTCTTACACTTGCGCATGCGTGGACGGGTTTGCAGGCAACAGATGTGAAGAAAGTAAGATGGATTCTAAGAAATTAGTTACAGAATACCCTTTCCAC